CCAGAATAGCTCATTACTGTGTTTATCCTGTAACCTAAATCCTTTGAGTGTGTCCCTCTAATGTCTTTTATCAGTAACATACCAACTGGTAGAGGAAGCACTACTATAAGTACAAAAAAAAAAAAAAAAAAAAAATCATTTTCTAGTTCAGTGATTTTTCAGACTTTTTTGGTTTGTAGATCTTTCTGTGTTTTTCTGACGGAACTTGCTTTTCCTAGGAATTTTTTGTGGGTAGTTGTGTAGTAGATGTAGCTCACAGACCACTGTTTGCAAAGCTCTTTAGTGGAGAGTGGAAATGACATGGGTCTAATTTGTCTGTCTTAGCACTGGAATTAATTGTCTAAGTTGGAGAAGATGTGGTTTGGTGCAAAAATTGAAAGATGGATAAGCAACAGACAAATGAGAAATGTGGAAAAGAGGAATATTAGTCTGGAAGGAGAGTCCATGAAAAGGTCAGCTAAATGCTGAGCAGCAATCTCAAAGCAAATCAGCTGTTAGGATTCATTAGGAAAGGAGTAGAGAAGAAAAGAGGCGCCATTGTTGTGCCTCTGTGTATATCCAAGCTTTGCCCACATCTTGAACATTAAGTGTCAGAAACTGTCAGAAAGGATATGGTAGATATAAAAGAACTGGAAAAGATTCAAAGGAAAACAGTGATCAAAGATGTGGTACGACTTCCATTGGAGATTACTATGTAAGCTTCAATATGGAAAAGAGAAGGCTGATGTGAAATTTGATTGAGATTGCAAAATCTGCCATAGAGAGGTTAAAATAAGGTTTGACACCCCCCCACGCATCTCCCAATACAGGTGCCAGGGTACATTAATATATTAAAACCCAGTTAAAAACAAGCAAAAAGAGGTTGCTTTTTGCACGGGGGGCAGTAGATGTGTGGAACCACTTTCTAAAGGATATGCGGCTGCTAATACCTTATCTAGCCTTACGGGGACGTTGGACAAATTTGGGGAAGAGAAATTCATTGAAAGTTACTAAGTAAAATCTGAGAAACCACATTTGTCTCGGGAAGTCACCAAGTTGAAAGTAGTTGTATGCTTGAGAGTTTTAAGGGGAAGTAGTATACATTTGCCATGTTTCTACTCATCTTGAGACATCTGCTTATGGTCACTACTGGAGACAGGATACCAAGCTTTTGTTCTGACCTAGTATGGTTGTCCTTATGTTTCTTAAAGGTTGGTTTTGCGCATGATGTTTATATTTTGCTAAAGACCTTAGCATAAAAAGGAAAAACCTGATAAGTAATTTTCTAATGAGAGGAGTAAAATACCAGGTAATCCCAGGCTGTCCATGAGCAAATGGTGTGATACGTACCGTTAAAGAAGGCACAAATGATCCTAGAAAGCCTGAAGTACTTCAGATAGAGCTGGGAAGCATTCACATAATTAAACCTGTTCCAAAATATTATGTACTGCTCTAGTTGTCTGTATTCGTGTGCAGAAGGGACTGCTAGGACAGGTATAGAAACTGAGTGTCTGTTTTACAAAAAGCATGGGCTTTAATTAAATTAAATGAGGGGATGCCACTGCTGTGTATAAATGCATCATGGACAAAATGCCAGCAAGGGGAAAAAACTAATCAAGCTAAAGAACAATATTGGCATAAGAGCAGATATGTATACACTGGCCATGTGTGTGAGTTTAGGCAGAAAACTGGGGCAATCTTTCTTGCCATTTGAGCAACAGAGTTTTGCAGCAGTCTTCCAAGAAATGTAATGGGGTTCGAAATAGTAAAACTTTTAGGGAAAAAAAAGGATGAGGGGGCTCTCAATAGTTTAACTTCTGTAGTTAAACTAAGCTTGTAGGAGGAGCCAGGAAAGGGGTGCAGAGCTCTATCAGTTCCTTGGAGTTGCTCAAGGCCTCCAGCTGCTACCCGTAGCCTGCTGTGAGGCTCTGCTGTCTGTTTTGTCTCAGCCAGATTTATATTGTTATCTCAGCCTTTCTGTGTTCCTGTTACTTCCTGCCTGTGGCCTTTCTACTCCTTCAGACAGTGATTTGGGTCTCATCCATCCTTCTGCTTTCTGATCATAGCCATCTTGTGAGATGCAAACATTTGCTGTTTAGCCAGGGAAAAAAAAAAAAAAAGAAAGAAAAAAAAGGCAGGGTAAGCTCTAATGCAGATTTTGGGGTATTTGTTTGCAAGACCAGAAAATAGAAACAGTGACAGCTGTTAACAGCTTGAACAAATTGTTTCTAGTGGTTCCTTACCAAATAAATATGTTAAACCTTTTCCAGTTTTGCCTTATGTTCTTTTTTCCAAGCTGTTTATTAATAAAACTAGCAGTGATGATGACAGATTGGTTTTCCACAAAGCCATGTGTGAAAGTATCTTTGAAAAGAATTACCCCAGTAAAATTCCACTAAATATATTTTAATGTCTCATAACAACTTTACAGCCCTGTACCACCATCAACCAAGAAATTCCCATGCTAGTACATTTATTTACTTCATCTGGGCACGGTAAGAAAGGTAAATAATATTCCTGTTGTAGAGATGGAGTAACCGAGGTACCTAACGAGCCTGTTCAAAGTCTTGGAGTAAAGTTGTCCCAAGTCATACTTTATTTGTATCCACATAGTGCATGGCATCCACAGACAACACAGGACGCCAAAAGAAGTTGTACTTCTTCAAAATAGGACACTTTTTTCTTTTTCTTTTTCTTTTTTTTTTCTTCCTGGAGTGAGGGGAGAAAGGTGTTTTATTTCTTAGTATGTAATCCCTTCATAAATGAGCTGTGTAAGTCAACTTTTATTTTTTTGAGAAGTCTGTGTATCTGAGTGTCTAATCTGAGTTTTAAACTTAGCGTAGTTTTGCCGTATTGCAGGGTAAATGGCCAGGATTTGGAAGGTAAGTTTAAACCCACACTTATTCTGGTAGGGATTTGTTTTTCTTAAAACCCAGATTTCTCATCTGTTGAATGGATAAGCCCTTGCACACATCATCAGGGAGAGATGCCACTCTACTGAGACAGGTTATAGGGTTGAAGGAGATGAGGAGATTTGTGTATTAGGAGTCAATGTCTTTAGCATGTCAGCAGGTTTATCTAAAATATACTTCTAGTTGGATTGTAGTTCCTTTTATTATTTATGTCCATCCTTTACAAGAGGTAGGAAGTAAAAAAACCCAAAAGCCAACGACCTAAGGCCTGATCAGGACTCGACTCTACAGGAGTGTAGAAGTAGCAGGGAATGAGCTAGCTAAGCAGCACGGGGGAAGGAAACCATCCAGGAGTCCTTTTAGAGCACAATGGGGTTGTTAATGTCAGTGGATTCAGAGGACTGGGAAGAGGTGAGGTGAAGGTGCTGATCACTGTCCATTCACAGGATAAGTGTTGAACAAATGTACCTGGGTGTAATAAATTAAGGTATGAAACTGGAGGTGGTTTTTGAGTGCTTAAATTTCAAACACTTTTGTGTCTTTGAAATCAATTTATATGTTTTATGAGTGTTATATAGGGGTTCACATGCAGATGATCTGTACTTGACCTCTTAATGATTGTTTTTCCAGTCATAAACTGATAGTTTTGTTCAGATGCTTTTTAGAATCAGTGGAATATTAGCACTGCACAGACAGAATACCTCCACATTCTTTAGCATTCTATAAGTAATGATTAGCTTGAATAATGATTATCGTGGCTATATGTAATGTGTGCTGAGTATCACAGTTGATTTATTCTTACTGGTGTATTTGAAAATCTCGACTACGTAGAGCTTTTAAAAGAATGTACTTAGGCCCTCTACTGATAATTCTGAGAATAGGAAAGAGGAAAAACTGCTCTGCAATATTAAAAGGCTGGCAAAACAGGTCTTTTGGGAAAAGGGAAGGTAAATGTAGGACAAGAATAGAACTAAAAACTGTTCTATTTAAACAGAGACATTCCCTACCATTATTTTTAGAAAGATGTAAAAAAAAAAACAAACCCCAAAACCCAAAATAACAGGTGCAGTAAAGACAAGTTGTCCTGTTTTGAGGTGATGTAAAATAAAATCCATTCAAAGATCAAGCCTGCAAAAAGGCCCTATCCCAATGTCTTGTCTTCCTTATGTTTTAAAAATACCTGTTTAAAACCTAGTGTGTCCTGTATTCAGGCCAGAGCCGTAACAAAGTTAAACTAAGGGCAAGTTGCTGCTAGTAACACTTGTCAAATCTTCTTTGAAGTTTTAAGAGTCAATTGAGGAGGTCTTTTACGGTCAGGTAATCAGGAAATCTAGGTTTGGGAGTATTCCCTGGTATATGCTGTCCCCAAAACTGTGCTACCCTAAACTCTGGCTAAGTCCTTTTGGCCTGGTCCACAAACAGATTGGTGTGAGTTGGACGAATAGATAAGCTGTCTAGCCTTGGCCTGTGGCTTGACACTTTGCCAGGCTCTGTATATTTGCTAGAACAGGTGTAGCTGTGGAGTCACTGAGCTTATTCTTCAGGGTTTTCCAGATTCCTGTTGTTCTTTTCCATGACGTCATAGACTGATTGTTGCAAACCAAATTTGGTAGCTCTTGTCTGATGTGTCACATTCTAGAACAGGGATAAAGTGCACGACCATAAAATTCAATAGCAGAGAAATTCTTAAAAAACACCATTAGCTTCTAACCTAATAGCAAAGTCCTGCTATGCATTGGTACTCACAGATAAGTGAAAGCACCATGTGTCAAAATAAAAACACATGAAAAATAGTAAGACAGGAGGGAAGTAGAAAACTGCGTGTGATAATTAGGGTTGCGTTACTTGGTGCATGGGAAGGCCCTTGAACACCAGTATGCTCCAGAGGGTTGGAGAGACAGACAAGACCCCCAGGGTGAAGTTTTTCGTGAAGTGTTTTTCTTGCTCGAGAAACCATTAAAAGTGAGTTTTGCCAAGTCTTTGTACATTGTTACTGAGTGTATCCATAACAGCAGAACTTGTCATTTTGAGTTCACTGCTCTTTAGCTCTCTTCCTTTTTCACTTCTTCTTTTCTTTTCTTGTTTTTCCTCTTAATTTTATTTCCTTAGATCTAACTGGCTAAAACCGTGCTGTGGGAGACGAGCAGCTGTGTGGCAGGTATTTTTGCTCAGTGCAAGTCTCAACAGTTTCCTGGTAGCCTGTGTAGTATTGGTGGTGATTCTTCTGACTCTGGAACTCCTAATAGATATAAAGCTTCTCCAGTGTGAGTAGGAGGATTTTTTTTTTTTTTTTTTTTTTAATTTTGATGAAATAAAGGCTTAACTCGCTGGGAGGTTTTTGAAGGGGGGAGGATGGTGGGGATTTTTTCTTTCCTACCATTTGAATGATTACTAGGCTAGGTAAGAAATGTGTTTTTGTGGAACCCTGGTATAGTGAAGTTAGGCTCTTCCTTATTTTGCTGACCAAATTCAGTATAGGACACATTTTCAAAGGATACAAGCAGAGTGTACGTGCAGAGATCTGCACATACTGTCATTGGTACTTGAGAAGGTCTGTCCCTTACAGACACGCTCCGAAGAAAGATTTGTGCATCATTAATCTCCGATGCTTTTCACAGGAATGTGGATAGATGGAAGTGATGAACTTGCTAGGGTATTTGGTGCTATCTCTACTATTAATTTGCTTATAATGAGGTGGGTAGAAATTGAAATTGTGGCTTTCTATCTTGTAATGCACTGAAATGGTAGAGATTTTCATTCTTCTTTGCTAAGACACTGAGAGTTGAACGATAGATTAAATGCAGTTTTGCTTTATCTGAATTCACTCTACACAGGTTCCACAATGGAAATTTTCATGCTGTTGTTTTGCTTCTTTTTTTTCTTTCTACCGCTCTTTTCCTACATGCCGCCCCCCCTTTTTTTTGCTTTTGCTATACAAATCTGACATGAACACAAATACCAGCTATGTTTTTCCCTATGCTAAATGATGAAGAGCAGCCAGTAGTATCTCCATAGAATCTCAGATATGTTGAAATGGCAGCGATGGGGTTCACACAGTCCCATAAATGCAATAATGCATAGCATGAAAGAGTCATGGTCTGGTATCTTCTATGGCAACTTTAAACTGAGCAAACGAGCTTTTTATTCTGTTGAAGTCCTTTTATTTATGTGATTTGTCAACTGATATTTAGTGGAGTTAGATTTCACTGTAAAGATTTAGGTATTACAATTTTAGTTAAGATTACTTTAGAGGACTTTGCAGCCATTTTATAAACCCTATAAGATGAATAAATGACTAAGCTGTCTTTCCACACTGTTGCCCACTATTTAGACCCCTGTCTGTCCATACTGCACACACTGTTCTGAACATGGCCACTCTATTAGAGTTGTTATTTTCTGTAGACTCTGGTGACTTACCTTTTTGGATGAGGAAGCCCAGAATTTGGACATGTCTGCTGCCTTCAAAAAAAGTTGGGAATGCTAGTTATGGGCATAAGTCCTTAAAAAGAGAATGAGAAAGAAGCTTCCAACAATATTTATTGAGGTGCCACATCTTTCTCTACATTAAGTAGAGAAAAGTCACTTCCTGTAGAGTCAAAGAGTTTAAAAACTGTTTCTGTTGATTTCTCCTGTGTTTTTAACACAGTTTTGGAGACTCTTCTCTGGAAGCACCTGCTTTCTTACCATTTATTTTCTGAAGAATCTTCTAAAGAAGTCTTTATTTTAGAGATCATTCTTCCTCTATGTGTCTAGTGCATGTGATACTCTTAAAAGCTCTGCAGCTTACATCTTGTGCATAACAAAAGTTGTTTGGTTGAGTCAGGTGATTTCAGTGCTCAGAGGCTGCCCCTGCCTGTGTGGGTTTTCTCAGCACCTGAGAAAGGACCTGCTCTGTGTTGCTACATTGCATTTTAACTAATGTATTAACCCATCAGGCTTCTTGTCTTTGTTAAGTTGAATACCTTCTATTTTGTTTTAAATCAGATAAAGGCTATCTTGGTGGGGCTGATGTAAGTATTGCAGTTGTGTCATTTGAGGAATGTATGTAACTTACCTTAAGGTTTTAAAAAGCCATTGGGCCATAATTCTGTTTTTCAAAAAAGTAATTACAGTTTTAAGTGATTCCTTATTCTATATGAAATCGACCAATGCATTAGGATATGTTACGGCACATCACTGCCAGTTTTGTTCATAATAACTGCTAATCCAGCTATTAGTTATATAGACTGTAATTACTTTGGAAGCCTCCTTTTTTTAAAAAAAGCAAACAAAGCCTGGCATTTTCTTTGGCTGTGACATTTTGAGAGCATCATTTTCCTCTCATACTTTTAGTGCAGTCTTTGGTCGCACTGTGCAGTTCTCCCATACACGAAACTGTCATGTCAGATCAGGATGGAGACCACATTTGCAAATGCGTAGGTGATGCACAAGAAAAGGACAGAGACCCTTTAGGGTATTTTAGCACAAAGCATATTCATGCCAGAATTAGATACTCTAGAAAGCAGAGGACATATAATGGGTCTTTTATTATAGGTCTGTATCCTATAATCAGCTTTCTTAGTCCTATGTTCACAACTCTTCACATGCATTAACAAAATAATTCCTCAATACCTTGTGATGGTTTGCAAATGCAGAAATAGATGTATATTAAGTTACTTGCACCTCATTTCAAAAAAAGAGGATCATGGCAGCTTCCAGCCCTCACTCCTCAGAAATACAGAGCATTGTGTCCCTTCCTCCTCTTCAGTAGTTTTATGGGAAAGCAACTCAGGAAAATCAGCTTAGTATTGCCCTCCTTCTGCCATGAACTAGAGCGGGTGTGTGTGTAAAAAGCATCAGACCTTATGAAAACGGTGGAGCTGCAAAGCTCCGCTACTGTCCCTTCGGTTGCTGGATCCGGGCCCTGTCTTGAGTGCATGCATAGCTGTGCAAAGGAAATGCATGTTGTGGTGCAGCAGTGCCTCAGTAAGAATGGGTTCAGGGCTTGCCTGAACCATGCAGTGAGCACCTGCTCTCTGCTCCTTGCAGAAGCAATGTACTTTGTACCTGCCAGGAAATCGTCATCAGGAACAATATCCATCGAACACAAGCGCTGGTAGTACAAGCTTGTGTAGTGGCCACTCAGGGTTTGTCAGGATGTATGCTTCATCCCTCCCCTCCTGGATATACATTTTGAGGAGACGTGAAAGGGAGGGAAAAGCGGGGAAGGATAGACTGAGGTTGGCTGTACCTCTGCATTTTATACTGAACCATCTTCATCAGTTGACTAAAAAGCATCATGGATTTGCATTCACTTCTTCCACATAGCACCAGACAAGCAAAATGTGAAATAAAGCAGAACTTTTTGGCCTTTAGCTACGATTTTGGGAAAAAAAGGTCATGCCTAAAACAAATGTGAAGTTCTGTTCCAGATAGAAGTGGAAGCTGAATAGCTTAGGTGCTTTGCCTCAGACAGAATCCCAGTGATGTATCCGAACCACCACAGAGCAGGGATGAGCACCGCTTGGAGGAGACTCTTCTCCCTTTTTTGTAGCTTTCCACTGCATTTTTGAAAGGGAGTGCTTTGGAAGAGGCAAATATCCAGAATCAACGTATGGGCCAGTGATTCAGCTCTTGTACAAAAGCTTCTTGTTTGAAGGGCTGTTTAAAATTTACCATCTTACTGGCAATTTAATTGCACACTGTCTGGCAGCACGTCCAGCACTTTGCTACAGTTAGTGCAGCATCAGAAATTGATTTTCTTTCCAAATTCCTGGTTGCTCTATCTTTTTTGTCCACTAAGGGGCAGCTGGAGCCTTGTATGTCACTCGGCAGCAGTTTGAAAAATAGCTTAGGAATGGTTTCCGTTTCTTGTTCTTTATGCCACCCTATAAAGACAGTGTCTTGGAAAAGTTAAATATGATACATTTTGCCCAGTTGTGTCATCTTTAAGTAGTTTCTCTGCTGCACCACAGCAAACCCTCATCAAGCCCCAGATGAGCCTCAGCGATGAGCGTTCCAGTGGCTGTACTAACAGATTTCTTTGTATTCTGATTTCTTCCTACATCCCTTCCCTCCCCTTCCCATTTTAATCGGTTTTAATTTTAAAATAATATGCTGCTTTATTTAGTACGTGTCACATAGGTTCTTGGGACTTTGTAAATTTGCCAGTGTCTTGCATCTCTATGCACACAGTCATTGATTGCCGTAAACTTTGCTGTTACACGGTAATTCTTTGAAACAGCCAGACCGCGCAGACTGTCTTAATCTGTCTGCTATAGGGATGGTAGACTCACAGATACCCTGAAGTAAAGAGAGAATTTTTTCCTCATCATTCCCTTATTCCAAACTTGAGAGCATGTGACCTCGAGAGTAGAAGTTGCCAGCAGTTCAGATACTGGACCCTTTCAGCTTTCTGCTTTGTTTTGTCAGCAATGAAGGGAACTTTGATCACGGAATTTCAGTTGAACTTACTTGTTAAGGAACCCTCAAGAGTTCAAGACATTCATTTAAGCCTATAAAGACAACCCATATCATAGAGCTTCTTATGTAGTCTTGCAGCAATCTCATTTGTCTGAGCTTATTTCACGTTATTTATAAGCAAAATAAGTTGAATCAAATGAGAGCTTGATTTAATGCCAGTGAGTGTCCATGCAAGGCTTTAGTAGTCTGTAAAATCATACTTTTAATGAATTCAGATAAATTTTCGTGAATGTTCCTGCCAGTCAGTACCTGCAAGGACTTTTGTTCAAAGTCATTCTGCTTTGTTCAAAGTCATTCTACTACCTCAACAATCTGCATGCATGAAGAGCACCTATATGGAAAGTTAGTATGTAGAATCCAGAGTTTTATAAATTACTCTGTACAGACTTCTTCTCAGGGAGGAGTCTGAAATGAAGTGAACATAAGTGATTTTAATGGTCACTGTCTTTCTGAAAAAGACTGCTTACAAAGGAAATTGTGGTTTTTAACCAGTTACTTAAACTGGAATTTTATTTCATTTACTGTAACTTTCTCAAGTGTTCTCACAGAAACTTGCTTAAAGACAAGCTGTCCATATGACAGCCACGTTTCCTGAAATAGCCTGGACAAAAGTACTCACGTTATGTTTGTTGTACACATTAGAATTGCTCCTTAAAATTAATATATTAAGATTTGATCTTATTAGCATTAACAATGACATTGTTAATGTTCTTTCTGTTGCTTCTCTCACTATGGTTTTCCTAGAGTCAAACCTGACTCTGAGAGGAATGGGATTCTGAGCCGGTCATGACTGTTCATGCCACATCCAAAGAGCTGTACAAAAGTCTCCTTACTTAGGTTATTTATTTAGATGATAGAAACGTGTTTTGAAGTCCAGTTTTTAAGCATCCGTTCCAGAATATTACTGATCTTCAGAGCTGAATTGTCAAAGACTGAATACAAGGAATAATACAAGGGATTCTGTTTCCTTACAGAATTCTGTGGATTTTTAGGCAAACAGGATTTAGTCACACATCTCGTACTAAAGCAGTGCATGGAGTGAAAGCATGGAGCAGGGACAGAGCATCAAAGACCTAAAATGTGTATGTCGTTGCTTATCAGCAGTCTTATCTGTAAAAGCTGCAATGAACAGCTGCCGTGGCTGCTAGCATGCTGGCCTGCATTAGGGTAAGCAGCTGGCAGGGCTGGAGTTCCATGTCCCATTACATCCCATTCCCTTTCTGGTACTTCCATTACGAAATTTAAGCAAGCAAGCTTCACCCATATGTAAGTTGTAGCAGTACTAACTATATTAAACACAAGTTGCATTCTGCTGCTATAATGATGCTTCATTGTATTGTGTTAATTGCAGTTTCAAGTGCTTCACAGTTTGCAGGAATAATTCACTGGATCAGCCTAGTCATCCTGTCTGTTTTCTTTTCAGAGGTATGTATAATCGAAGTCTTTCACCACATACAGAACTGCAAAGTATTTTTATGCTGTCACTGGAATTAGCAAGAGTTTAACAGTAATTTGACTGTGAATAAATGTAGCACAGTGTACTTTAAGGAGAAGGAAAAAAAAAAAGAAAAAAAAAAAACAGTTGCCACTCCTACTCAGCAAACTAAAAAATCTTGTTTAGATTAGCACTGTTTGTCAGCTGGCTAGAGTTGTCGAGGAAACATGGAAGATACTGTCTTACAAATTATAATTGGAAAACTACCGAAAGAAATAATGATCTCCAAATCACTACAGGCACAGGGCAGTACTCGTTTCATCAATTTGTTCTCGCAGAGATCTCATCGGTGTCATTGGGTATAAGGTACGGGAATAAGACACATTCTTCAGGAATAGAGATACAAAGGGTTTTTTTACAAAAAGATCTGTTTTAAGAATGGCATTATGTCCTCTCACACTTTATGTGGGTAGCTTAGATGTTCTAGGTTGCTGCATATAGACACAGGAAAAGAATGAAACAAATGGTGAATTTCTTTGCAAAAATTTGTATGAATGTATGCATTGGAAAAGGCTGTAGTCGATGATATAACAAATAACCCAACTGGGATAATCCGTTATAGTTTTCAACTTTATTTCTGCCTCCCCCTCACCCCCCAAAAATGAAGTAATTGGTATTGAGATATTTAGACTATTCCTGAAATATCCCAAAATATTTTTAAGGCTGTTTTTCCAGGTCATAAGGTGTTACTTCTCATAAAAACCCATTTTATGTTTGTTAAGTTGGAAGACAGCTTGGACTTGAATATTTTAAAATATTTTTCCTATTTCCATAGGAGAAATTATTATCACCCAAACAGATGTTAAAGTCTTCACTCTGCAGTAAATTTAGGTGAGGGTTACAAGAAAAAACAAAACAAAACAAAAAAAAAACCAGGGAGCTGTGATATCTGCAAATGTTTTGATAGATCACTTGTGTTGAATTCACACTCGCCATATTATACCACTGATTATTGCCATGGTTCTATTAATCAAATACATTTATTTACATATATCACTTTGTATTTCTACTCATAACAGCAATTTTCTAGCTGGTGTTCAGAATGTCAGTGGGTACTTCCTGAAGGGATTCCTTGATAACAGGCAGGGGGTCTAAAGACTGCTTTGCATCCTAGCCTTCTGGTACTGCAGTTAGTCAAATAGATACGATTATCTTCCCCATTCCTTGACAGTGATTGTGTGTTGTAGGATACATTTAAACTGACTGAAAAAAAATATCTAAATGTTTAAAAAAATTTGCAGAGTCTTTCCTTTATGAATTGCACATTCTAATTCTCAAAGACCCAGGTTTGCTAGATGGAGTCCATTCCCTGTAAAGAAATACTTTCCCCTCTCCTCCAGAATCTTTCTTCAGAGGGGATTAGCATCCTGGAGCTCTCTGTAATCCTGAGCTTCCTGACGGGATCAGCTTGTACTCTGCTGCTAGCAGCATGGCTGCACATGCACGCTCACCTGATCCTCATTGCTTTCTGGAGCTTGTTTCACAAAAACTTCTCTTGTGATCCTCAATTTCCTTCTGCTGGGGTGTAGTCTCAAGATCTGTTTTCATTCTCTTGTACCACCAACCACTCTTCTCAAACCCTGATGCAGTGCCTTGCTCCTGTATCCCTTCCATAGTTTAATTCATACACTGATGGTTTGTGGTTGGTTGGTTGTGGCAGTGCAGATGCATCCTCAAGGCCAGTACTCATCTGTCTCAAGGAGGAAATTAGTTGTTCATTTCTACTGAGACAGAGTACCCACATAAATGGATATGTAATCTGAACTGATTCAGATTACAGGAAAACAATAACAGAAATAACTTCACAGAGCCAAAACTGGTTGCCTGGCTCACCATCCTCATTTTGCATCAGTGTTGGCTTTTCTCCTTCCCTCTGTATTAGGTATTTGGAACCACTTTTCTTTGTTTACTTGCTGTTCTCATTTTTCATAAGCCTCTTATCGCTCACTTTATTATCTGTTTCTGTCTTCCAAAGTATCTTCCTTCACCTGTTTGATGATGGTTTGAATTTACACCAAAAAAAAATGAGGCCACAAGGCAGCCATGTAAGGTACACAGAGGAGGACAGATTTTCGGATATTGGTTCATTTGGCAGCTCAGAGTCCTTGACTGGGTTAAAGCAACAGTGGTGGCTCCACAGAGCAACTGGATGCGCTTCAAAGACCACAGGTCCGGAAAAGAATGAAGGTGTACCTTTCCTACTGGGTTTGCTGCAGTTGGTCTTGTGCCAGGTTGGTTTAATGAGCAGCAGCGTATCCGTTTGCATTGAAATGTGTCTCATCAGAGGAAAAACGGAGGGTTTAATTTTTTTCTCATCCAAATAAAAAACTCTGATTTTTCAAGAGGTTACAAAATATTGCAAAAATTGCAGATCACAGAAATTTTTTTTTTTCATGCATCTTAATTTTATTTACTCTTTTGGTGCTTTCAGGGGATTTTTTTCCCTCTGATGGCAAAGACCGTGAGTCAACTGTCTTTCTTTGGAATTATTTGTTGAGACAATCCTGTGTTATAGTGAAATTTTGCAGTCTGTGACTATTCATGCCAGGATGATTTTCCAGAGATGAGCAGGTTTAATTAGTTTGCTTGGATAATAACAGGCAACTGCTGAGGATTGATTAGTCCTTCAGTCAGTGCCTTTTTCCTCAAAGCAAGGATTCAGGGTTTCAGAAGGGGCTGTTTCCGCAGTAAGTATCATGTCCTAAGTTTGGATGTTCATTCTGTAGTTTGGTTCCCATTAGTTGTAAGTGCAGATACGTAATTCTTCAGAAAGGCCTCAACTCAGACCTAGAGAACAAATAGTACGAAGTTGTAAAAGACTTGTTAAAAACCAGAAAACTTTCAGCACTAAATCTGAATGTTTTGGAAAAATATGACTGATTAAAAGCTAGTGCTATAAAGGCATTGCAAGTAATTACAGTCCTATCGTGCTGAAGTTAAACAGGCACTGGCTTTCTGCATGGTTAAAATGAAGGGGACAAACATGCCAGCAGCTGGCAAATGCCAGCAGAACAGCTGCCAACAAAATTAAGTAGCTACTCTCACAGCATATTCCTGCTTTTTCTACACTTGTGTTATAGCCCCAAGCCTTAAAGGAATTTATTGCACTCTGTTAATTTTATATTCTCTGTCACTGTCTGTGACTTTCCAACATTAAAATATCCTTATTCATGTGAAGTGCACACCAGCTCTTTTTGCTTTTTTCCAAGTATTTGAACAGGATTTGCTAGTGGTGATGATTGTGTATGTTTGTCTCTGTTTACATACATCACTATGATTTGTCTGTGCACCAAATGTTACCCAGATGTTAAGACAGAAGAGAAGAGACAGACACTGGGGGGGGGAAACCCCAGTACCAACAGCAAGGCAAGGCCGGGGTTACACCCTATCAAGAGGGCAAATTCGGCCTTGGTAATAGTTGGCTGAGAAAAGGAAGATGGGGAATGTCACAGTGTTTTGGTAAGTGGATTGGAGTCTGCTTGTATTTTAATAGTCTTATCACATTGCCACAAATACGTGATTCTGTAGCTGTTGTTCAGTTCTGCTTTTCCACTAAGATTGATGCGACTGCGTGCAAGAATTGAGTTCTTTGATATTAGTTGTTTGCATTGCTCTGTGTGTGCTTCAGTCAGCCAAGCACTCAGGCATTCTGCTAGCTTTCAGCACTTGAGTGTTTCCCTGGGAGTAACCAAGTCTTCTGATGTGCTTAAAGTTAAGCAGTCACGGCATTGTGACTTTTTTCCTGCATCTGTGTCCAAGAAATGAGTTCTCAAATTGAGTAGAGTAAGTCTGGGGTCCTAGCTGATAAAGAATTTGTTTCATTAGCTATAGCTTACAAGTGCATTTTATATTTTCACTTTTAGGAGGGGAAAAAACCCAAAACCAAGACTTTCCTCATCCTGTATGTTAAAAGGAAGTGTTCATAAGTAGTCTGGCACTTTACTCCTTATTAATAACAATCCTTGTAAGGAATAAAACCTCCTAAGGAAGACCCTACTATTAGGTTTCTGTTAAAAAGGAAAGACATCCCAAATGACCGAACTAAGAAAATGACATATTTCCCATGTAGAGTTTTCATAACAAATTAATAACTTTATATTAATCAGTTGTTACGTATGTTACATTTTTTTGTGAGTTTCAAACAGCTGAGCAGAAATAAAATAATTTTTTATTCTACAGTTCTTCCATAAGCTGTGGCTTCTTTTCTGGATGTTTGCTTTCATTCCATGTACACACAACTTTTCTCATAGTGCATAAATGCACTGCGTTGCTGGCTGTGGCTGTTCTGATTTTTTTAAGGGGGTTGATTAGGGGGCATCTAGGAACAAAGATACGGATTTTATATGCTAATATAATTTATGAAGGTAAATTTAAGAGTCCTTCTTTGCTACTGTGTAAAAAAGTAAATACTTAATGTACTGCAAAATTTGTTTTCTAACCACATTTCTTGCTTCACAAAAAAGTATTTACCAGGGAAAATGGTTTTGTAGAGGTCTAGGAATTTAGCTAAACGCCTTCCTGAAATGCCAGTCTCCCCATTTCATTTCCAAGAATATACCTGACTTACATGGTGTGCTCCATCACTGCTTCATCCATGCTTTCATCTCCAGTCCAGCACCTTCTACATGGTGTGTTTCAAAGATCAGAATTAGTGCTAGCGTAGTCGCGCACAGAGGAAACTTCTGACGCAGGGCTGCTTAGGACCGGCTTTCTGTCCAAGCTGCATTTACCTTATGGTAGTATCCTGCATTTCTAGTAAGCCATTTCTATTCCTGAAAAGCCCTTTCAAATCTGATCAGAGTTGTCAGTTTAAAATTAATTGTTTTTCTCCATATTCTAAGAACAAATATTATGGGAGAAGGTAAGACCAAATGTTAACTGCAGTGTTTATGCAAAGGTTCATTTGGATACTATATGATATCGTAATACA